GGGGGGTGTTTACAAAAATGCAACAGTAGAGATCAAGAGGAAGGCCATGTAGACCCTGGAGATGCACAACAATTTAGAAAAGTGGAAAGACATGGAAATTATATAAAGAGGCTAGCTCGAAATAGGGAAAGGTGAAGAGTGTTTTTCCCCCCAGGGCAGTGCCACTGACTGTAGTGTCTTTAGGCCATTCCCAAAGGGGGAACATTTTTCTCTCGTTCAAGCACAGTAGAATTGTAAATGGGCTGACTCATAACTGTGACTGATCTACAACAGGGAACTGTTGCCTTTTCTTTCCTGACCCTTACTGTACTATTGTCATTTTCCTCTACTTCTTTTGTATGTTTGTCACTCTTGTGACCTGCTATTTCCGGGGTGCCTAGATACAGATAGTTGAAGCAAACCTTGTGCTGTTAAAGCTAAAGAGGTGAGCAGAGTAAGTCTGATTCCCTGTAAAGACTACTCTGTTGACACCCACCCCTTGACACTCATATGCCCTTATGCAGTTGTGCGTTGTGTAGAGGTACATGTTATACGGACTTGCATGTTATTTTTATTTAGAAAATTGCTAAACGTAAATTTGACAAAGAAAAGAAGCTGATCATCATAAACCTTGGAAAATAAACCATACAATGCCATGAGGACTAAACAGTCTCTGAATTAGGGTAACCAGTCATTTCGTCACACAGTCTTCTTGTCACACCCTATTATGTGTGACGAAATGACTTCACAGATCTATCTCTCCAAAATTGTTGCTAGTAAGAGTTTTTGAGGATCAGCCTAAAGCTTCTTTTAAAAAAAAATATAAATTATAATTTTTGATATTAATAAAATCTTCATCCAAACTGTTCCATAGTTGAACAATAGTTTAAATATAAGGCGAAACAATGTCTGGTAAATAGTTAATAGGCTTCGTTTGAAAGTAGGGGTCTAGCTGCAGCACCATACATTTCTATAAATTACTATTATAATTAGCTAATTTATTTTTAACAGAACTAATATGATCATGCCAATCACACCTTTCATCAATAATAATTTACCTAAAAACTGTGATGATCTGACTCAATAGATTTCAATATTGTCAATACATATTTATGAACGGTGTAGCTGATCAGATAGGCACGACGACTCGCACAGCCCCCCCCCCTTCCACATACAGCCCCAACCCTCCCCCCAAAAATTGTGATTTGCCATCGCAATGATAATGCACGTTTGACTTGATGTTTGCAAGTGTGCTACGAATACGAATTGACCATCTCCATTCAACCTTGTGGATTTGGAGTGTGACGAGATGACAGTGACGTCTTGACGGCACCAGTCTGACGAAATGACTGGTATTCCTGAAATAGTGTTGTTCTCTGGAGTAACAAAACTCAAAAGCAGTTCCCAACCCACTTCTACTCACATCACATGACGTAGTCAAATGATTAGAACCAGTTCAAGCCCCCATTACGAGGAAAATTTATCATGACAAAATCTGGATCTGTCCATTCCTTACTCGCTTAAACTAACATTTCACATGCACAAGATGATGAACTGTGTATGTTTAGTCATTCATTGATTTTGTTCTCTAGAGTAACAAAACAAATAATGAAGTTCCCAATCCACTTCTACCATTCACATCACATGACATAGAGTTTAAAATTCAGTTCAAACCCCATTATGAGAAAAATTTATCATGAAAAAAATCTTGATCTGCCCATTCCTTAATTAATAGCTTTGGATGACATTTTCACATTCACAAAATATTACCCTTAAGACTAAGAGTAGTCATTTTTTAAGCATTTTTAATTTATATCCTCTCTGTTGAGACAAGATAATGACAAGTGCCTATTGCCTCTTTAGTTTTAGTAAGAGTTTTACGGCACTTGAAACACAATATGAATAAGGTCATGTAAGTGCTAAAGATGAGAGGTAAGACAGTAACAACACAAAAAAGAAGGAGGGGAGATAGAGATGATAGATTTTTCATAGGAAAGTAGGAGCAAACGACACCAAAGCACCAGCCAACCACCCACTTTAGGTGAAACAGCGGTGACTACAATCAGATCTATCTATCAAGGACTCAAATAATTTCTGAATCTCCTAAAACTTTGACATTCCAACAAAAATAAAGACTACACAGTGAACAGTGATTCAGAAGAGATGTTGGTCATGGACCAGGTCCATAGACAAAAACAATTTTGAAAAATTCAGCTGATTTCACACCGAGTTATTAAAAGAAAACCTCTATGCAGATATTTAATAGGCATGCTTGAACAAATAACAGGACAGCAGTGATTAAACTGGACATCAAGAAAAGCTGTTAAAAGCGGCACCTTGTGACGTCTTGTCAGTGTGCGTCGGTAGAAATAAAACCTGACAGCTATCTTTGGATTAGATTCTCATTAAATCGTTCATCCCTCAGTCATTCTGAAAATGTAGGTTAAAATAAATTTTACTTTTCTACTTTACTTGGAAAGAAAATCCCACCAAAATAGAAAAAGGAATGGATTCTTTTGAACCAACAAATTACAAGGCTCCAGTTTGTGTTCCTACCTTCACCACCATGTCCTCAAGCCCAAGCCCTCTTTCTCTTGAGCACAAACACACAAAGATCAGACCAAACAGCTGAAACCAAGCCCATGCACAACACTAGCCGATCATAAAGACCGTCACGAATGAAGACTCTTTGTTCGGGTCGGTGGCTTGCCTGGCTGTGTTTTACATTGTTTTTGTTTGGTGTGGCAACGATCGATAACTTCCAGCGAAAATGTCTACAGTCAGAAACGACATTACTAAAATGGACTCAAGAAACACACACATACGAGTCTTGTGAATAGGCTACAACAGATAGTATACCACATTCAAGCTATATTATAATAAAGAGCTTCTAAAATAGTAACTGAACATCTGTCGATCTGGGCAAGCGGGTAGGAATCGAGGTTTTTCGAGGTCGGAGACGATAGCAGAGAAGAAAGAGAACGGGCGGTGTAGACCGAGCGCTACACTGCGATAAAAAAAAACAACAAAAATCGCACCCTACCTGCTTTGATCAGATATTTCAGATTTTCTGTCTTAATCCAGTGAACCCTAGACATAATAACTGGTCTGCACTATTCGTCAATGACAGATAGGCTTTTTTCCCCCTTGGGAGTCTACTACTGTGGACAGCAGGCCACGGTTGAATGACTCACAAAACGACTGCTATCCCAGGCCGGGGGGCCATTGTGGCTTTACAATATGGCCACCATCTCCAGGGTTGCCAGATCGGGTACGAGCTTTCCAGCTAAATTGATGCTTCTTCAAAAAGGAGCTGAAGTCAGTATATTGGTATTATCTTAGTCCACGAACAACTACACAGAACATCGTAAAAGAGCACGCAGTTTATTCAGAGCAGCATGTTTTAAAGTTCTTATAACAAGAATGATGTGTTGATAAATCATGTCAAGGATGCGATCATGTTTATGCATAGTATGAATTGTCAAGTACATGTACATACATTGTAATTGGTGAATCCAGAAGCTTTTTAGCATTCTCTTACAATAAAGTAGACTAAAGGTAGACGAAGAGTGGAAGAAACGTATTAATATTTGTTCTGATGATAAATTCATCAAAACAGGCTAAATTACGCCTTTTAAAGACCGCTATTTATCTACAATTAATATAATGTTAAAGTTCCAATAATCATCAGCAGTTTATACAGTATTTAAAGAGATTGGATCTTTGAATATGATGAAAACACCAATCATATAAAAAGGTTGGTGGATTGTGGCGATACGCGTTTTTAATAGGCGAAAGCTACAAACCACCATAGACCATTTTCTTTCAGCTCCACGATTTTCGTCCAAAAGGCCAATGTGGCACGGTAGTCATCTCAAAGTATCACGTGACCCTATTGCCTTTGTACGTCAAAGAGAGACGAGCGATGATTATTAGCTCTCTATCGATCAGTTCATGAATAATACTGGGAAAGAGAGAAAGGAGAGAGAAAGAAAAACTGAAAAATAGAGAGTTGGTTTAGGTGGAAACAATGTTTTTCATTAGAAATTACAAACTCGCATTACAAACTTGAATTTGTCACATAATGTCTCTTGATCTAGTAGAAAAAAAACAAACTAACAAGCAAAAACAGTTGAACATAATATGAACTGAGAAAAGCGGAAAATATGTTTTTCTTTCTTTTCCCCTGACACAGTGTAATTGTTATGGCCACCACTTCTTTCGCTGATTTCATTACTTTTTATGGGGGGGGGGGGGGGGGGGGGGATAAACATTAGGCCTATCCCGGATGCGTCAATTAAATGGGGACATAAGCAGGGAGGTCAAAACGGCAAATGAAACAATGAACAGTAAGAGAAAAAGAAACTTGGGTAAACACTGAAACGATCTCCTCAGCAGAGAACACCGCTCCTTTACCCACACAAAACAAGACAACAACAAACTCTGTGTGTGCGGCGTGCGGGTTTGCTCGTTCCCGCTCTTGATTGCGAATCGCCGAAAGTAATGTCACACTCCCCTTTTTATGCTCGACGGAAGATTCGCATCGAATCTGGCCATTCGAAGGCTACATTAAAAATGTTTCATTTTATTTAGCCAATTGACGTATTTTCTTTTTCTTTGGATCTATTTATTTTTTTGCATGCAATGCGGAATATGAAAAAAAATGAAATATAGATTTCCGAAAGTGGCCATGATATTATTATGCAGCCTAGTCTACCAAAGCAGATATAAAATAACGAGGGGAAAATAAACCAAGTACGGTACGTAGCCTACCATGACTACCAAATTTCAAATATATTTTTAAAGACAAAAATCAAGAATTAAGAGAACAAGTCTCAAATAATAAAGTAAGCAACAAATATCAAGCTCTGGGAACATTTATATAAGAACTCAATTTGACAAAATCGTGGGGTGGGGTGGGGGTGATCAAGGACTCAGTAAAGGAAGCCATGGAAAAAAATAAAATGCGCTTTATGGTAAATGTACACACCTTTTTTTTGTTACCTGCAAATACCCGTCACCCTCCGGCAGCCTTGGACGTGTCACGTCAAGCAGACTTTCGCGGGAGGGGGGGTGGGGAGGGCTCTCCTGGCCTAGAGGTTAAGGTGTTCGCCTCTCATTCAAAGGTTCCGAGTTCGAATCCGGGAAACTTTTTGTCGCTAAAAAATGTCTCCTTTCACCTCCTTTTCTGCTCTCTAACCATGTTCTGTCGGCTGACTAGCTGCTTTCGTCTCCACTTTCTGCCCCCAAGCCCCCACGTCCTTCCCGATCCTTGGGCTCCGGGCTCTCTGCAGCCTTTCGTCGTCTGCTACTCTTTGGACTGCTCTATTTCAGTTTCAGCTCGACCCCTGATCTTATGGTATGTAAGATGTAACATCTATACCTTCTCGGACAAGGGTGAAAAATCTCCGAGGTCCCGAGTGCAAGTTGCACACGTTTAAGATCCCCGAATATGTTAAGTTGTTTAATCAAACTTGCATAAATATGCTGTTTTGAAACTCCTGAATTTTGTTATATTGACATGTAACTCCACTTTTTCATAGAACAAGATCTTGGCTTGATACTCAAAAGCTAATGCTTTTTCTGGTACATGTATCAGCAACCTCAAATTAGCTTAGAACAAGTTTTAAAATTAATGCCGCAAAATTATGAGTGTTGACCCCAGTGTAATTTATCCGAAAAAACAGGTAAAGGGAAATAACTAAACAAAAAGATTACCACAAAAGCGCTCGCTAAGAGTTTCTGAGCTTTTTTTGGCAAGTGTTTAACGGCGCTCGCAACTGCATTATAAGCCCAGAGGAGGGGGGTGGGGGTGGGAATGAGGGTAAAAAGTGGAGACGAAAGGAGACGACTGAAAATGAATAAAGAACAGGAAAAGTGAAAGGAGAAAACTTCTTTGGAAAAAAGAATTTTCCGTCGAAGTCAGATTTCAAACCTGCGACCTATTGAACGAGAGTCTGCCCTCTCCTGGAACATTTCTCCTTCCACGTAGATGTATCAATGTTCCGGGTACCGTACCGCAAACGAGCTGGATTACCCTAAACCTAGCTACACGTTCTTACACTCTGACTTTCTGAGAGTCTAGCCCCAAACCTATACGTTCTCACTCTCTGACTTTTTTTGAACGACTAGCCTAAAACCGATTTTCTTTTTTTATACAGGTGTTTTTATGCACCCATCGACACAGTTTAGATAATTTAGAAGGTGGGCTTCTGACCCTACCTGTCAGGGCCAGCCAGCCCGGGCTGAGAGGGACACAAGACCCCAGCAGAAAGACCGAGTAAGTAACCGAGTAACGTGTACTTGATAAAAATTCTCCCCACTCGGGAATCGAACTTGGGTCTCCTGTGTGTGACAGCCAAGTGCCCAACCGTTAGATCTACTCCACAGACGCTGGGCCCAAAACAGAGATTGTCAAATTATTTCTGTGAAATAAACAGCCTGCAGAAACATAGTGTATTTCAATGACATCTTCCTTGGTAAAATAAAGCAATCGCAATAGGCTAATACAAAGCTACTTTATTAAAAAAAAAAAAAAAAAAAAAAAAAAAGAAAGAAAGAAAGAAAACAAAAACATGATGATTGGGTTTGTGCATTTTCAGGAATAGGTTGGAAGTGGGGATCCCGGGCCGTCAAATACATGTAGCCTATATGAAAGGCTCCTGTATTACATACATAGCTACACGTGTATGATAGACTGGACTGACGTATGGTGGGGTGTTATTGATTAAAAATCATTGATACTTGATATTTGTAATCGCCAGTCAGCTGCTGAAATGTATGAAGCTCAAAATTTTGATTAAAAAAAAAAAAAAAGATGTTATCTGCGATACATGTGTATCAGTTTTAGTTTTAGTAAGAGTCCATAATCAGTGACACTTGCAACACAATTAGATCATCATATAAGTGCTGAAGATTAGAGGTGTTACAAAAGAGTAACAAACATTAAATAAAGGAAGAGAGACCAGGACGACAGATGTTAGAGATAGGAAAAAAAAAGGAGCAAACCACAGAAGAGCATTTGCCAACCACCCATGGGTCTTCTGTGTGCTAATTGCTGCACCACAAATTCCTATCATAAAGCATTCATCTGACACTGAGTATTAGCAAAATCAAGACAGCAAACAATTTTGTAACCTTTTATTTCTGTTTTCTTCTAAATCATAAACAATACATATCAATGAATATTATATAAAACAAAATCACTTGCAACACAACATGATTAATAAAACAAAATGCAACTTTCTTGCAAACAGACAAAGACTGTTTGAATGACAAACTCCCCTCCCTGATGCCCAGTTAAAACTCTCAAAATTACACATTCAACTCTACCACATCTGACGAGTAACATTTTTACCTCTTCCTTTCCTTCTTCAAGGCCAAAATTTGTGAATAAACCTTCACTGTAGAAGCTTACTTCATCATTCATAATATATTGGCAAGATTCTGATTACAGGAAAGAGTTCACGTCTGACTTGTACGTCACTCTCAACAAATCATAGGTCAATTAAACAAACAGTACTTGACTGTTTTTGTTTCGGTGTGAGTTTCATGCTCTACAATGCACAGACATTTCAGAAGCAGAACGCTTGGTCCTGGCGTAAGAAAAAGGAAGACTACAAGAAAGATGGCTGAGATGAAACAACCCAAGACAATATCACACTCGTGTTTGGTTGCTTTTAATTTTAAGGACAAGCGGGCTAACCCAGATTTCGGGGTTTCCACAAATCTTGACCAATACCAAAAGTGGGCATTGCCCTACGTATAGAAGCTTGGTTTCATTGGTGTGTATATTTGTTTGGTTATAGAGAAAACTCTCGTCTTATAAAAAAACTGAACAATGGTCTACTAAAACTAAAAACTTTACATTCCATTTCCCAAAAACAGCATTTTTTCGGGATAGCCCCCTTGTGCTTAAAAGCGACCATTTGTGTACCCAAATGTTGTTGTTGTTCTTTCTGGTGGAGTTGACAACTTATTGTCATCCCCCCCACCCCATCCCATGGCACATGCTTTTACTTGGACACATGGCAAAGAAGCCGACTTGAGGCAAAACTGTTGTTCCTCACACACAGAGAGGTTGAGTCAACAATGCTATTGCAAACAAATATAGGTCAAAGGAAATGCAGCTTCACCTCATGTTTATTGCGTTGGTGGTTCAGCGGTTAGCTGTTGGGTTCTTAACCGAAAGGTTATGGGTAGAATACTCTCTGATGTTGTGCCCTTGGGAAAGGCACTTGACCAAATTTTCCTCACTTCACATGAGTGGGAATAGGCACCTTGCGATAGACTGTAAAAGATCTTGTCAGTTTGTTCGAGTTTTAGGACTTAATTGGGTACTTGCATTGTATGCTTCCCGTGAAGTCAAGACTGTTTCTAATTGTGCTAGAGTCTGCTGGGGTAATAATAGTTGTAAAGCACATAGAGCACATTGTAAAGCACAAATATGCGCCCAACACACACACACATATATATATATATATATATAAATATATATATATATGTATAATTGACAGAAGCATGGAGATATGCCATATACGGTATATAAAAATTATTATCATTGATAACGCAAACATTGAGAAAATGGCGAGACAGCCCCCTCTTGCACAAAGGTGTTGTAATTATTTTTACACGAACAGCTTGAAAAGGAACATGAAGTCATACTAGTCACTGTTATTTTCAGTTAAGCATTGTCTTTTTTTCCTTATCAGTTGCAGCCTAAAGTGACATAAGGGTCAGAGAGTATGAACCAGACGGGTCAGATCCATCGTTCTTAGCAAAACGCTGAAAACACAATCTACTCATAACACACCTGTTGAAACACACAAACATGAAGACAGGGTTTTGTGGAACAACAAAGTCATTTTAAAATGGATAACAAATCTAAAAAAAACCCCCACATTATAAGTAAGACACGAAAAGAAATAACTGAAAAAAAGAAGAAGAAAGAAACAAAGAAACAAACAAAAAAGCACACTCAACCATAATATACATGTGGGGACATATTTTGATTTTTAAAAAGTACACACAATACAGAACTGTCTGATATAGGAAAATATCCGAGTTGAATTATAGTTTACTGTAAGTCTTTATTATATTAGTCTGGTAAAAGTTTTACAAATAGAATAAATAAGTGCCGAAGATTCATTCGAGATTTTACTAGACAGTAACATAAAAAGAAAAGGAGGAGAGATAAAGACGACAGATGTTTGATAGAAAAGAAGGAGCAAACGACACCAAAGCATCTGCCAACCATAACTATAACTATTAGTCTGCACGGCAGTAGTCATATATCAACGAGAAGAGAACAAGGATGACAGACAGCAACAACACAAGTTCTGTTGACACAAAATCAAATACAACAACCATACCAACAGATCACATGACTGAACCCCCCCCCTACAAAGCATGTTTCACAAGACGAGGCAAATGAGGACTGAGCCAAAACAAATGCACCATCAAAAGATGACTCACACACACACACACACACACACGTTTTTCACTGACAATCACCCCATGCAACTTCACATACTATCAAAGTACACACAACCAAAGTTGCAACTGGCATCTATTATTACATTTATCCTCTTGTTCTCCCTATAAATTCAGACAACAACTTTCAGCCATACAGGTTAGCATTCTCTGAATTTCATTCAGACACTCAAGAGAACCAATTCTGTTAGTTCTGAAAAATGAAGAGTCACTGACACTTTACGGTCACCTGGCGCTGCGCCAGGCCCGAGAAGTCTGTTGTAGTCACTCTCCTGGTTGGGTGACCGGATGGGGTGTTTTGTACTGCAGGCTATGTGACTGCAAAGTGTTAAAGGCAGTGCCTATGAAAGCCCAGGATTCACACCCAGACTGCAATCACATTTCCAGCTTCAGGACATGAACACCCACACCAGTTCATACTGAACAAATCTTTCTGACAAAACATTTCATCAACACTGGAATACTGGTAGGCCTACCTTAAACTAGAGCAGTACACCTCACACTCATAAAAACACATATAAAAAAACTACTTCCGACGACGACTCTCATAATTTAGTTATCACACCCAACCCTTAGGATATATTGCCCTTGCCACCAGGTTTCTGTGGAGGGTTGCTGGGAGAAGATGGCGCTGGTTTTGACGGAGACGGAGCCGCTGACGAGGGTGCCGCCGAAGCAGATGTAGGTGGCGGCATGTTCGACAACAGCCTGTCTTTGCTGGTCCTGTAGAAGACGTCGGAGGTCTCCTCCCCATGCTGCCAGGCCACTTTCTTGGCGTGCTGCTCGATGGCGTCCTTGACAATGTCGTCCATCATGGGAATGGTCAGAATACCATCCTCCGAGGCGTAAGCACGGGCCTGTCAAAGACACCACACAGAAGGAAAAAAATGAGCATTTCTCCACTCTTTAATTCTGCAACTGCATGCATCAGATAAGCAGCCGGGTATAGAGAGCATGAACACAGAAAAAAGACAAAATCACGTACAGCTCGAACAATTTGCCATTTTCCAACTGATGTCTTTTAATTTTCCATTATCGGCTTACCTGAATTATGGATATCTAACCCAATTGTCAATCCCCTACATATTTGAGTTATCTGTACCAGACTGTACTATACATCCTTTTTTGTGTGCACGGCTTGAATTGGTGATTTTTTTCAATTTTTTAATAAGAAATAATGTTTAAAAAATGCTACTGCAATAAAATTAATTTGAAATCCATCTAAAAATCTGGTTAGCGCAAGAACCTGCTTTTTAGCAACCTCCTGATGACAAGATGCTTAGGCAGACCAATGTATAATCATAAGAACATTCCTTTTAGTAGGTAGCTGAACCACGTCATCACTTTCTCACCTGCCATGCGACTCCCAACTTGGAAATCTCTCTGCCTGAGAGGCCCTCTGTCTCTTTGGCAATGTCCACACATTTCTGACCGTAATCAAATTCTGCAACTCGCAAGCGCCTGTTTTGAATGCAAAAGAACACACCCTTTGAAATTTTTTTATACAGGAGTACAGTTGTTTTGAACAATTTTATATGGCATGGAGGACACAGCAGAAACCTTCAACTGCCACCAACCACTCCATGACCAAAAAAAGAATTTGTACTCAGAATCCCCTAAAAAAAAAAAGAGTCAGAGAAAAGAAATCAGTTTTCAGAACTCCGGTATATTAAGATTAAGTAAGTAAGTCTGATTGACTATGGCAAACAAACACGCAGTCTGAATATACTCCAATAAGCATCTGCATTTTCAATTCATTTACTGTAAGTTGCACAAATATTGCAACTAAAAGAAATAAAAATGTGTTTCCACGTCAAATACGATAAGTTGTGTGTGATCGACAGAAAAGGAATCCATGGAAAAATAAGAGCATTTTATTCAAATTTCACTATGGTTTTTCGATGGGCAAAAATAAATTATTCTAAAAAATTGGAGAGTTCAGATTTAATCGGAATATTTGGTCGGCTGTCCATTGCCCACTATTAAGACATTTACAGGAAGTCAGCATATCAGCAACATTTCTCCTGGACCAGACTTAGACAATAAGAATATACGGAAAAGATGTGTAAGAAGCAAAACATACCAGGGCATTCGCCAAAGGAAAAAAACCCAACCTAAACAAGGAACAGCACACACAAGAACAACACCCCATCACAAAATGACGACAAAAAGATGAAGATGGATCACTCACCCAGTCTTCTGTGTGGCAGGCTCCAGGATAAACTTCTGGAAGTAGTGCCGGATCAGCCTCTCACGTTCCTGGAAGGTGGGGATTTCAAACTCCACCATCTCGTCCACACGATCGTTGATGGCCCAGTCAAACTGCTCCGGTTGGTTACTCGCTAAGACCAGCATGAACCTGGAAAGGGAACACATGAGAAAACCATCTGACAACTGGGTCAAAGACTTCCATAAGTAGTCAAAATTCAGACTATTATGCCAAGGACATAAGCCATAATTACATATTTATTGGTAAGTTTTAAATTAATTACAGGCACAGTAAACAAGAAGACACAGTTCAAATGACTTCACTCCCCCTTGAAAGTCAGACTAACATAATACAGAAATATGTTATTATCTGAAGAAAGTGACAGTCACCCAGGACACCTCAGCCAGCTTTCTTAGATATGTTCAGACATCATAAAAGCAAACTGTTTCTTTTTATTGTAAATCTTTTCACCACAATGACACCGGTTGTGTATTTCTAACAGCAAATTTTGCGTTCTTTTCCACAGTTTCACCTCAGACATGTTCAACTGTACTGACACACCACAAAAAACCCCCCACAACAAAACAAAACATAAAAGCTTTAAACTGGGATGGGATGGGGAAGAGGAGAGAGACAACGAACACATGGGGGGGAAGGCAAAAAAAAACAAACAAAAAAACCCCAACTTACTTTTGAGATTGTTCTCCAGTACGGTAGAGGAACGCATTTAAAGTTGCTCTCATGTCTTCACTGATCACTTCCTGCAAGTGCAACGAAACGCTTAACAAGACACTAATACTACCGTTATTGTAAAAAAGCACACCAACACAAAAACAGTTACTTCTTCCTTGTAAGAAGACAGATAGAGAGCAACAACTGAAGGGGAAAAAAAGTAGGACCTAGAAGTGGCGTCTTCCAATCCTTCCTTTCTACAACTATTTCTCCCACATGGGAGAAAGGTGACAAGAGAGACACAATTCTTTGCACATTACAGCATCACTGTTCAGTAAAGAAAGGAAATAGATACTGTACAATTTTTAGCTTCATGCTATGAAAAAAAAAAAAGAAGTTTGTACCAATGAGCTTTACATTAGTGTAACATTACTAAAAGTATGGCAAGCAATTTAATCAATTTAAAGATGTTAACCCTGGAATTTTGAAATATCACATTTGACTATACTGATCCCAGGAGCAGTCAGTTCTTTTTTCTGAGCTCAGTAGCTTTAAGGTTACTACAAGACCAGACTGTTACTGAAAACTGAAAAGTCGTAACCTGAGATGAAAAAAAATAATGGTGAAAGAAAAACTGGATGGAGCACATTCTAAGGCATTGTCTGCCAACACAGAGGACAACAGTATTTTTGAAAAGTGATTTAACTGACTTACTGTACTTCTTTTCCTAAGGAAGGCATCTGCTTCATCAACAAACAGTACCACGCTGTGAATGAAATAACAAACAATGTGAGAATGGTTTAGATTGTTCCAGATCAAGATAGCGCAGCTTGAAATCAACATTCTGTTCACTCCTTCCATTCCTGTATTAGAGCCAAAAGCACCAGGTGATTCTGCTTTTATTGCCATTTATTGCCTTCGAAGGGGAACAGAATTCTAATCGGCTAGCCATTCTAAAAATAAGACATAAAACTTTGATAAACACGCTTCTTGCCTGGGCTGACTATTGTTGTGATGCACTTCTATTTCTATTCCAGCAGCTTTTAGGGGCCAAACACTAAAAATGGGGGAAAGTTGAATGAATGCAACAAACATCTAGGATACAATGAAGTGAACTATCAGATCTTTGCTGGGGCTATTTTTATTCTTACTCCAAGAACAAGTCAACAGTCCCCAATATCCCCAACACACAAAAGTAGATGTTACAAACAAACAAATAGCGATAAATTTAACTCACCCTTTCCTACTGGTGTGTGCCCAGTCAAACACTTTGTGCATGGCAGTGACACCCTCCTTTCCCATTGGTGCTACATCACCTCCCGTCATGATAGCGTAGTGCATACCTGAGTGCTTTGCTAAACTCTGAAGAAAGATTTAGAAAAGAAAAGTAAACTACAGATAAGTTACATGGTAAAAAATTAACCAGGAATTTGTTATAATAGTAAAAATAGCAAACTCAAAGGACTTCTGGCACCTGGTTGTTTTTCTCATACTACTATTACACTAGATTAATGCATCTACAAGCATGTCTTAGGGTATCCACAACCACTTCTGGCACAACCACGAATTAACAAATCAACAGCTACACTCTAATCTGTATTTCTTTTCAAGTGAGCAGACCTGCCACTCTATGAAATCTAAAAATCAGGATTTTGGAGTAAAAAAATCAGGATCTGGTGAAAAAAATCGGGATCAACGGCAAATCAGTGATAAGGGGCACTGGGGAGGGGGGGTCCCTGGTTCCCTTTTATGAGGCAAGCATGCAAGACAAAACTTTTGCAGGGATAAGTTCACATTTGGGCCTCTAAATAGAGAGAAACCTGAAAGACAGCATATACAATGTATATGTACTCGAGTCGTGAGTTGGATAGACTGGGGGGGTTGCAGAAATGCTGAAACTCTCGTAGTCTTGAAAATAGCTGGCACATAACTCTAATCATCCATGCAAAAAGTCCGCGTTTTCATACAGTAACGTTTGACTCCCATCGCATATACACTCAAGGCGCCCACCGCCCCGAAAAAAAGACCGCGCCAAGGTTGTTAATTAATTAATTTTTTCTTATTTCTTTCCCCTCAATTAGTACCTGTACCACGGCACGCACTGCAAGTTTTAAAAAAATACCCCCCCCCCGGTTAGGTCCCGAAAAACACCTCGACCAATGCGACCGGTGTGAATGAACTTGTTGACCTTGACAACCAACGGTCCCCATCACACGCACTACTCACACGTACGAGATCAGGTCACGTGATGCGATTGAGCGTTTGAAAGTTTGATGATGGGCCAGACGAACCAGCACTCAGATCAAGCTTGCTTTTAAAGCAACGGCAGAACAACTAATAGATTATTCTTAGCCCATGTCATAATAGTTACAGTAATCAGGACACCATCTGAGAATTCTGGGTTATAAAAGCGAAAGTAGATCTTGAGCGTATCCAAGTCTGAATTCAAAATTGATACATGTACAACGTCGATTTTAGTTGAAATATCGTGCATCAGTCATCTACTAGATTCGGCATAGATGCTTTAGAAAATAGTTCCTGCCGATAAAAAGTCCAATCGGTGCTTCCAAGCAAGAGAGATTGCAGAACTTTTTTTTTCTAAGAACCGGATGCAACAGACGCAACGACAAAAAATCAGGATACTGGCAATCGAAATCGGGATGCTTGAAATTTGGAGCAAAAAATTGGGATACCCCGATTAAATCGGGATGAGTGGCAGGTCTGAGTGAGTCATATTCAGCAGTTCTGATACGAAAAACAAAAATTACCAGCTATTCATCATCCTGATTTCAGCGGAGAACAGTTTGTGAATCTCACCCATAACATCTGACACTACACAATGGTACAAACAGAACTTTAAAATTCTTTTGACAAAAATCTTTATAGTAAATTAAAGTCATCCAAACCGATATTTCTCTTCCCATCATATACTGCGACACAGTTAAGAAACTTGCAAAAATAGAAAGAGCTATATTAATTTGCTGTTCACAATTATCTTTAACATTATATTGTAAGCTACATGAGAACACCCCCCCAACTTTTTTATCTCATCTTTGAAAAGTGAGATAGATTTCCTGACACTATGAGATGTAATAAGAAATTTTGAATACATCGCGATTTGTGACCATTCTTCATGACAAGGTTCGAAGTACCTGTACTCACCTTAGCAAACATGGTTTTTCCAGTTCCTGGGGGACCATACATAAGGATATTACGGAAATAACCATTATTTTTCTTAGTGTGTCTCGTTGCAATGGCAACATCACGCAGTTTTTCTTCCAAAGTTGGCTGAAAGCAAAACAAATTTTTAGAATATTTTATGAGGACAGAAGCTATATCATCACAAAATAAAATACTAAATAAAATTATAGTATTGTAAGGTCTATATGAGGCTGTCAAATTCCGTGGAAACCAAAATAATTCCATTGACCCCAGGAGCATTACCAAAATTACTGTGAATCCTTTTTTCGATAATCAAGACTTGGCCCTTGTCCGTCATATCACAATATGTATCCAGAAACTGTCTTCTCCATCCTCCCTGGTTTAGTGATGGATTTAAAAAAATCTTGGGACCCTATTGGGGCCCGCTGTCAAATCCTAAACTTTGTATGTAAAATTTGATGAACTGAGAATCCTGGCAAAAAGGCCAACAAACCCCTGATCCTTACCAATCAACAAACAAGAAAATCCAAAGAGACATCCAAAAGATAATGCAGCAGAAATCAATACCTAGACATAAATAGAAACAACAGAGAGAAAGAAAAGAATTAAGACTATCTTATACCCCCACCCCACCGTGCCGCATTATAAAGTCACCTGGACTCCTCATGAGCATTAAAGAAAAGGCATTCTTTGATGATCTACTTAGAATCCTGAATGCTGAGCATCAGAACAACAACAAAAAACCCCCCACAAACACAACAAGCATAAACAACCACGTTTTTTCAGAATTTGCTCATACAATCACTGCAATACAAAGCAATGTCACTCCACAAGCAGACCTTTTGAAAACTTACCTTTAAAATAATGCCTTTCAGAGCATCCTCTGGTTTACGAACCATTGTCTGTACAGTCTGTGGCAAATAAAAATCACATTTTCTTCATTATAACAATGCCTCTCCCAAAAGTACAAACACAATTGCATAACAGTAATAATTAGCTCATCAATATACAGATTAAGATGACTTGTGATGTCTGCTGTGGCCAATGAGACCAATTCTTACTTTGAGAGCATTCATTTAATTTCCCCTCAGACCACTCAATATTTTGTTTGAGTAAACTTTAAGCACTTGGAACACAAATTGGTCGCATTAGTGCCTTATATTACAGGTGTCACCAGAAAGCAACATTTAAACAAAAATAGGGAGGAGGGATAAGGATAACAGATGTTTCATAGGAAAGGAGAACTAAACCACATGAGAGCAGCACCCCTTCAATCACCGATGAAAAGCTGTTTCTTATTGCAGCAGGGAGAGTTGTTTAGGAAGAGAGTAGAAGGAAGAAGTGGTCACCAGAGCTCCAGCCAGCAGGTTGGGCCAATGGAGCAACTGAAAAAAAAAGTTTATACTGGCTTTTTGCCCCTTGCAAAGCAGTGAGGTTATTTAAGAGGGAAGACCTCCGAATTTAACATACATCTCCGACAGGACTGATCCAAACTGGTAAATTTGTGTAAAATGGCTTTTCCAAGGACTCAACATCAGACGAGCTGAGACGTGAACCCTTGAACCCATGAACTTCCCCGCTGTTAGAATTTCCTGAAGGTAATCACAAAGCAGGCACAGCCGTTGGACTTAATTTGTTGATGAGATAACAAGATAGCTATGTTTTGTTGGGTTTTTTTTTTGTCTTCTTCCCTGGAATTATTTAATAGACTCTGGCTATACAAAAGCGAAAAGTCAATAAATTACCCGTCGATATACATTCATTAAAATTTTGACGAATAGACAATGCGAAATAAAGCTGAAACCTAGGTCATGGTAAAAGATCAGCCACTCAGAAAAAAAGAATGCATAAGCACCAAACACATAGTTCTGTTTTAGTTTTAGTAAGAGTTTTACAGTACTTGCAACACAATAAGTGCTGAAGATTAGAGGTGTTATAAGAGAGTAACAAACTCAAAAAGGAGAGATCAGGACGACAGATATTTGATAGAAAAGAAGGAGCAAATGTCACCAGAGCACCCTCCAACCATGTGCCAAACACAAAGCTCATGATTCAAAACAAACAGAAAATGTAGCACTTACGCGTATCGGGTGCTTCAAAGCCTCGCTCACGGTAAAACGTGACGTTTCTCTAACAAGAGAAGGCTTTCCCAATCTGGCTTCAATGGACCGAGCTACCAGGCCAATGCTGTGCTTGGCACCATAGTAGCCAACCACGATAAGAGTGGCACCTCCAGCCTTGCAATAGAGAAAAAAACATTTCAAGTTTGGTTTATACACCTTAAATCTACAAATATAGAATAAGACAAGGTAACTATTGGAGGGGGTAATGTCTACACTTTTCATGCAAACATTTTGTTTTAAATTGGCATGGAAGGGCTATTCAGTTTCACTCTTGAGAGGCTTGTTGGTTGTCAAGGAAAAATAGCCAACTATCTGGAATAGTAGTTTTGAAAAATAACATCCACTGAATGGCTTTAAATCTGTACTTTAAGAGTGATTATAATCATGTTGACTTGACATTTGGGAAGTTTACAGCAGTACATATTGAGGAATCAATATTTCCTCTTTCACATAACATGTTTTATTACTGTACTGCTTGCTGATGGGTAGACTTATTATAATCATTTGTCAATGGAAAATTTAATCATTTTAAATCACGCTGTACAATAAAAACGGGTGGGGACTCTACAACGCTAAATGAACTTGCAAAACAGAAGAACTTTTAATAAAGACAGAAGAAATACTCACAAAAGCAGTGATCATGTTCCAGTTGTTCAGAAATGTGGACATCCCAGACCCAAGAACAGAACCGATAGTGCTGAGGAAAAGAAGTGGAAAATATCAGTGGAAAATATCAGTGGAAATTCAGAGCAAATGTCCAGGAAACATATGAAAGCGGTTGGGCTTCACGAGTATTTTCGTCAACAATCTCATAAGTGTCAAAAAGTTTGCTTTAAAGCAAGACAAGTTACTTAAACATACTACATGCTTCATTTAAGGCCAACACTCATTTATAGGAAACATTCAATTGTCAACAGTCCAGCTAAACAAACCAATTCACTTACGTGATAGATTCTAGTGTTGTCTTCCTCTTTTCCTCTGCCTTCAGCTTTATTTGCTCTCTGATGATGTCTTTGTTCTCCCTCTCCACTTTGGCCCTGCCTTTCATCTCTGCCTCAATTCTCATCATGTCGTGCTTGTGGCGTATTTCCGCCTCTTTCTGCATTGATGCTGAAACAAAGATCCACACATTGGGCTGAGTGGCAGTTAACTACGAGTCCACACAACAACTGTCATATTCTTACCAAGAACAGATTAGGGTAAAGACTCCACACTATAACAGAAGAACAATACAAGATGAACAGTAAACTAAAAGCAAAGAAAAACAATTTGGACAAAGACAAAACTTTCTTTCATTGCAGGACAATCAACCTGTGCAGAAAGAAAATCTTTTATTCAGTCAAATCAGGCAAGAGCAGAAATTACAGAGTGATAAAATGACAAATCCAAAAATGAAAATACTTTAATTTTGACACAAGAGGAAAAGTTCCCATAACATGCACCACATTTTTCCTCTTACCTAATCTTAGCTGTTCTTGTTTTTGGACAGATTCTTCCTGCTTTCGAAGATTCTCTTCATTCATTCGAGCCTGCAGTAACAATATAAAAAAAAGTATAAAATACAATACTAATTTTTCTTGAAATGCGTAACAAATTCCAGACTAGAAAAGCCTGAATTTTTACTTCATTGCCAATTTCCAAAGACTGAAAAAAGAGTTACGCATCTTTCACTGCAATAGTTAGCTCATGACCAAAAAAGAAATCCTTAATTTTTCACCACAGTTGTCCAGATGGCACTGTGGAAAAGCAAGACGCATAGCAAAAAAGAAAAGAGGTTTAATAAAAGAGTAGGAGCTATCTCTGACACTCTCCAACCACCAAAACAGTCTAATATGTGAGAGGGTATAATGAACAGGAGAAGTAAAACATGTTTTTCTTTTGCAAAAAAACCCCCAATCAACAATAAAAATACAACCCATAGATAAACAAAATATATAAGAGATCTTTTCAAAGAACAAGACGCTCATCATCAAGAAGCAATAACAATGTAGCACTACTAGCATCAGTTACCATTTACACACATCAGGCCACGTGTAAACACAGAATATGTTTGGTACAGTGGAAACCATATATAACAGGCCCGGTAATAACAGGGATCCGGTAATAGGGATTTTCTAAATCCCCGTTTTTTCCTACGCTTTGTCTCTATTAAAAGTTATCGGCAATAACAGGACCTCATCGGAGCCCAACCGGTTATTACAGGGACAAAGGCTCGTTAACAATGTGTAAAAAGAGAGAGAGAGAGAGAGAGAGAGAGAGAGAGAGAGAGAGAGATCTAAGCCTACTTCTTTCATTATGGCCCCCAACGATGCCAAGCGCAAGAGAAATGCCTTTCAATTGACAAAATATGCGAAATAACCCAGGCTGTTGACTAAAAGCAAGCTCCACTGACAGAGATTTGTCATCAGTTCGACATTCCACAAGGGTCGATTCACACCATTATCAAGGACAGAGAGAAGATAGTGGCAGCATACTCCAATGGAAACTTTGCTCTGGATCGAAAGATGACGAGACTACCTGATGCTGTGGACCAAGCTCTTCTGATGTGGTATAAGGAGGCAAGGAGAAATTTGGTGTCAAAACCCCTGTTCGTGGGTACTTGTGGCAAGGGAAACTACCCATGAATAAGTACAGCTGGATTAGTCCACAAATGCTTACTTTCCTTGCATTTCTGATTTAACAGGGATCGGATATAACAGGACTTTTTCTCTATTCCCACCATCTCTGTTATATCAGGTTTCCACTGTATCTTGTCAAATTGAACTTAAGGCCTAAAATTATTAATTTCCCCATATCATATGTCATACATCTGAAAATAGTGCTTTCAAAATAATTTGAACTCAAAATCAAAAAGTATTCTGACAAAGGAAAGAAACTAAAATTAAAAGAGAATCACATTCACATGAGTTTGACCATTCAGCGCATACAGTATATAATAATACAGACAGTCAGAAACAATAGAAAGATAGCATAGCACGACCTATTAATGATTGCACACTATAACCACATACTAGATTCTAGAAGCAATCCTGTTTTCCACACAGGTAAAAACAAAACAATATACCTGCTGAGCGAGTTGATCTTCGTAGCGTTTTCTAGCCAGCTGATCATCATACTGGGCTCTGTACTGCTGCTGTTTCGTCTCCTCTGCCAGGATCTTCCTCTTCTCCTCTCCAGCCACACGCGTCTGCTCCAGTTTAAGCTGTTCCAAGTGAGCTTCATATTCCTAAGAGAGAACAAAGTAACAATAAACTTATTATCTTATTTCAGTATATATGCAAACAAAATCAGAGCATGCATGGATGGCTGATGCTGTATTCAGTTGTAGTGTCTAGCTAGCAGCTCAAGTATATTTGTCAATAAATTTTAAATATCAGCTGATGTAGAGCTTTGACCTTGAAAAAGACCTATGTTTTGAAGGGGCTGAGCCCTCGGATTTGTTAACAGTGCATCTGGGTGTGGGAGTGGGAGTGATGTTATACACAGAATATCCCTGAGCAGGCCTTATATGGTAGAATACAGTATCGCGATAGACCACCAGGTAGACTGGTCAGTCAGGTGGGTTATATGGTAAGACCATCAAATGGACTGGCACCAGGGTTACTTCGAAAGATCAAACAACCCCTTCAAATATGAAGAAAGTTTAGAACAGAATACCTTGATTTGCTTTTGTGACTCAAGAGCTTTTGTCCTCTCCTGTTCCTGAATCAGCAACAAAGACTCCTTCGCATGTTCTGTCAAGATAGAAGAAATATTCTTAAACATAAAGAATAATAAAGTAAAACGCATATATGTCATAATGCAACATCATAGGGAACCAGTTTGATTGCTTTTGTAAAAACTACATATTGTGCAGCACAAACCTCAACACAAAAGTACAGAAACGATACACAATTTTATTTTACCCAAAACCCCCCTCAAAAACAACCACCCAACTAATCAAATGAGCAGAATATTCAAACAAAAAAATAGCTTCTGAAAAAATCCTGTTCAGTTGCTGGAAGTAAAATCTTGCTATTATTAAATTGAATATGAGTTCAGTACAATGAGGGGTTGGGTCAGGTTCCTTCTTTATTGTGTTTGTTGGGGTGGTTGTTCGTTACGGAAGTCCTTCAGATTTTCTAATAGAACAGCATATTGTCATTGTTAAATCTCTGTAGGCTCAGGCCTATCCTGAGTGGACAATGACTTTTAAAGCCAATCTTTTATTCTAGCGCTGAATGCCCTCTATTCATGCTCTCAAAACTAGAGCTGTACCCCGGTAGCAAACCCGCTCATGCTCGCAAGCCCCTAGTTCAAGTCACAAGCATCAAATCACTAGGTCAAATCATCAAATCAAATCACCAGCATGATAAGTTGAGTCTAGCACAAACTGTAACCTCCTTGGTCTAGTCTGAACTTCAAGTCCACACCAACTAGCAATCCGCGAAGCCACTCGTGTCAGACTCCCTTATCCTCCCCACCCTGCTAGCAATCCGCGAAGCCACGTACGTCAGAAAAAGAGAGAGGGGGAGAGTGAGAGATCCCGCTCACAGTGTCACTGTGCGGCGTAGCGCTGTAGTCTGCTCGATTAATTGAAGGCTTGCAAGCAGCGGACAGCCGTCAAGTCTCAAATCCCGTCCGCAGCACACAAGTCCCATAGTATTGTTTTGTGCTAGTGAATTGCTCACTGCCGGGCAAGTCTCTCGGCTCCCATTTTTTGCTTTGGCTCCCAGGACCAGCTCGAAAGCTGACAAGTCACTCTGCTGACTTGCTGTTGCAGCGAGCAGCAGGACCGCTCGCTGTGTGAACTCTGAACCGTGGAGGAAGGGAGAGGCTGTGCTTGTTTTGGTGCAAGACATAGAGAGCTGAAGTTATTCTTAACTTCCCGTCGTTGATCAGCTTAGCGAGTGGATAAGTGAGAGGGAGCGTGGTATTGTAGTAACAGAGACCGAGGTTTCTGGTAGTAATAAGAATAAGCAGACTTAGATTACCCTAGAATGGAAAACTCCAGGGGTCATTGTGATTGGCTTTTGTATCGTATCATGTATGTAACCTATTTTGTAGATGTTTTACACTCACAGTGACATATATAATACAGAACATTTAGGAGACGGGCTAGGCCTATTCCAACCCAATGTCAGGGCCAACCTGGGCTGAGAGGGATCAACGCCCCAGCAGAAAGACTGAGGTACTCAGTAAAATTTCTCCCCATACGGGAATCGAACTGAAGTCTTTTGCGTGCGACGATGAAGCGCTTGGCTCGTGCACATTAAAAATAAACAGGCCTTTGCATTGTAAGAATAGCCGATCCAACATTAGATTTAATTTTTAAATGCATTGAATAGAGCTTTTTATTTTTTACAACCCAAATATGAAAAAAACAACAATCTTGCACTTTTGGTGCAAGCCTCTCAACGCAAATAACCAGATAATCTTCGGTAATATGTACTGAGCCCACAGCCACGAAGGTTCGCAGCGTCACGACACAGTACAGCAGGACTGTCTGCGAGTCACAACTCACCGGAAGTTCCCCCCGGTAGCAAGCAGGAGGCAAAGCAAAGCACAAGCCTGCTCGCAAGCCTCTCTAGCACAAGCCGTCTGCTGCTTTGCAAGCCTTCGATTAATCGAGCAGAATCCAGCTCTACTCAAAACTGTAAATAGTACTTGTACTTTAGTGAAAAACGGTTGGTTTGTGAAAGAGAACCAGAAACAAAGGGAGAAGATGGGAGAAAACGGGAGTGTCAGGGAGGGAGGGATAGAGGACGGGATAGAGGACGGGAGGGAGGAGAGAGAGAGAGAGAGAGAGAGAGAGAGGAGAGAGAGAGAGGAGAGAGAGAGAAGAGAGAGAGGAGAGAGAGAGGGGAGAGAGAGAGAGAGAGGAGAGAGGAGAGAGAGAGAGGAGAGAGAGAGGGAGACAGAGAGAGAGAGAGAGAGAGAGAGAGAGAGAGAGAGAGAGAGAGAGAGAGAGAGAGAGAGAGAGAGAGAGAGAGAGAGAGAGAGAGAGAGAGAGATGTCAACTTTAACAAAAAATTGTCAGGAAAAGAGAAACCAGAAGCAACAGACAGGGAAACAAAAAAAGAAGTTTTATAATTGATTTGAATTGGAAATAAAAGTTTCTTGCAGATTCACGATAGGCCTACTGAAAATATTTGGGGATAGCCGCTCCGAAACAAGAGGCAAAGAAAAAAGGATAAGATCCACAAAGAATTTAAAAAAATTGTGCATGATAGATGAGCAAATCCAGATTTGAAACTTGTGCTAAAACAGTAACAAAATTTAAGACCAGATTCTAAATGCTATAAAGAAATAGATATCTAGATCTAGATTCTAGATCTAGTATTACTAGATCTAGATCTAGAAAATCTAGACTAAATGTTGCATCAGCCATACTCTTTCTTGAAAGTTCTTATATTTCCGTTTAGTTCATATTACTTTGACTTGTATTCAAAATTTCATCTAGAAAATCTAGATCTAGAAATCAAATCTGTTTCATTTAGTGCTTACTGTTTAGGTATATCTAGAAATCTAGATCTATATAAAAAAGTTCTATGATGTTACACATTTCAAACCACTCCGGATAAATCCTTGGGGCAAAGTTTTTACTATGAGACGCATAATTTCTCAATAAGCTGAGTAAGTGTCTATGTTGAATGAACATTCTGCTGTATTATAATAGTCATAGTCTAGGCCTTCGATGCCTCCAATTCTCGGCACACCCGAGACAGTTATAGAACCTTAAGACTATTTAATCTATCCTAAATCTTGTCTATTTTCCTCTCTTCCTCTTTAGCTCAGTCTTCCCTTACAACTTGCACCTTTTAGTCTTTAGTCAAGTTGTCTGCATCTTGCAGAGTTGGTCAGTAGGTTAAACCGACTGCTGCTCTTCGTGCATGCAACTTGTTCTTTCAGTTAATATTCTTGCCAACGGAAGCTACGGTACAAAACTGCAAACTGACCAAGAAACCAGTAAGAAATCTGGAACAATGCAATTGCATCTGTCAGTACCAAGGCGTATTATATTTTGTAGTTTGTAGGCCTAACCCACTCACTTGAATTTTCTAGCTCCTTGGCCGCTTTTGCAGCTCGCTCCAGTGCCGACGAGTCAAAAGAGTATTCCATTTGCGATTTTTTCCCTTTATCTCCGCCATCTGAGCCGTCTGGGGGAGGCAATGGGATCTGAGGGAAGCCTCCGGCATTCTGTGGTGGATTCTTTCCACCAAATAACCAAGACATTTTCTCTTCACTTGTTGTAGACTAGGAATGACATTGATGTTTCACCATGCAATTTTTCACGTGGGGAAAGGGTCACACGCATGCGTTGTGAATATTTTGGTGTGGTAACGTAAAAATTAGGAGTGACCGGTGTTGACCCGGTGATGCTATAATTTTGCATCCGGTTTTCTAATTTCTATCTCCCGGTGTTGCGTTGGACACGCACCCCAAAATTCTTATTCTATTACGGATATTACTTGCACTTGTTATTTTTTATTCTTCTCAAAATTTGTACTTCCTTCTAAATATAAGTAACAACTTACATACACGTAGTATAGTCTGTGATTGACTTTTGGGGGTTAGCGAAACATATGGATAGGGCCTTGAACCAGGTGTTCCGCCGCAGAGAGAGAGAGAGAGAGAGATAGAGAGAGAGAGAGAGAGAGAGAGAGAGAGAGAGAGAGAGAGAGAGAGAGACAGACAGACAGACAGACAGACAGACGGACAGAGAGTCAGACAGAGAAATGGGGGGGGGGGGATAGAAGGGGCAAAAGAGGAGATTCAATCGAAGGGGAGGAGCTGGTATTGGTAGAAGAGGAGAAAAAAGGGAGAGGAAAATTAGGGGCTGAAGGTGTGAGAGTGAGAGCATGAAGAATAAGAGAAAGAGAGATACGAAAGGAGCAGGGAGAACAACAGAAAGAGGGAAAGGAGCAGGAGAAAGACACATTGGAGAAAGGAAAAAGAAATAACCATGCCATAATATACAGTATTGGGGACATGGGTGGAAGTGAGCATGATGAAGAGTAGGTACTTGGAAGAGGGACAGGAGGAGTAGGAGAAGAAAGAAGAAGAAAGAAGAAGAAAGAAAAGAACTGATGGTGTATGCTGCATATGCATGAGGCAAATGAAGTGGAGAAGGACAATAAAGAAAGAGAGGAATTACAGTAACTTATTGGGAAAAGGAGAGTAGGAACTAGAGTAGGCCTTTATATGTTTAACTAAAAAAAAAGAAAAAAACAAGAGCACACATAGAATCAAATGCACATATTATGTTTTTAATATAAAAATGATTAATCTTGTGAAGACCAAACTTTAAACTTACATTATACTGTATGTCAGTCCCATAAAAAAACTCATTATAGTGAGACTTGAGACCAGAACAAAAATTTGCAGTGACATCTGCAACTGCATGTAAAAATTTACATGTGACACATACATAAACTTCTTATATACTCCCTTGCTGAAAGAGGCCGGATTTACACATATTTGAAGGCTAAGGGATGGAAAAAAAAACCCATAACCTCAAAGAAAATTAGAGGAAAAAAAAGGAAACAATTGTAATATTTGTACGAAAGGGGTACATTACTAAATTTACAGTCCAACTATGCGTAGGAATTGTAGGATACCCCTATTTATCAAACGAAAGTAGTATTAGCAGAAGTTCTATACACCTCTTTTTGAAAAATTAATAATAAAAATAATTCACAACACTAATGAAATTCAATATGGTCTTGAATAACCATAAAAAACAAATATAACCAGAGTACACGAGAAAGAATATTGTAAGGATAACTCAAACTCATAAGGACAGCCTCAGTTGTTTTAGTTCACTTGATCTCATGTAAATGGTAATCAGAATGTAGACTTTTCCAAACAACTAATTAACAGAATGAAGGTGAGTGCTTTGATATATCAATAGCAATGCAAGCCAACATCCTGTTCTCAGTACATGTACAAATTTATTTAATTCTCATGTCACCATATTAACACTCCCCCTCCCTCAACGGTCTACTCTGGGCCTCTCTCATCATTGCTTACCAGGAGAAAGTGACATGTGGCCTTGAAGGGTGTAGTTAAGATAATAGAACTTGCCTTCTCAATAGAGCACATTGCTTTACTTGTCTTTCATTTATGACCTTTTCGTCCTTTCATCTCAGTGCACACTGCCTTAGAATATATTGAAGACAACACCAAGTACCTCCACCTATCCATCCCCGTCTTGCTTAGAAGTATTTTTTCTTGCATCAGCACGCTGTCCACTCACCCTACTCAACTCATTCAATTGCTGCTATTCCTTGGTTCAAGATATTCTTTTGTATTTTATATTTCTGGTCAAGGCTGGCCAGTGTAGACTGAGAATTTTGATGAAATCAAAGACACCAAATCTACTTCATTTAACCACCATCACAGCAAGGACTGCTTTTGAGTTAGTTTTGGGCTTATGTAAAATGATGAAATCGAGACCAAGATTTCAGACAGAAGAATCTGTGTTCTTGACATTCAAGTGAATGAAATAAATTAAAAAAATAATATCCTTATGTTCCTATTGACACAATTTAGATGATTTACAAGATTGACTTCCGACCCTGTCTGTCAGAGCCAACCTGAGCTGAGAGAGATGCAACATCCCAGTAGGAAAGTAGAAAGACTGAAACTGAAATAGTTAATAAAAATTCTCCCCACTTGAGAACAATCCAAATTCTGGTCTCCTACATGCAAAATTGAAGCACCTAACAGCTGCACCATGCACGCTAGTCAAGTGTCATAGTTTGGTACAGTATTATGATTTAATGTTATTATAATACAACACCCAGGTATGTAAGCTGCCTCTGTTTGTGAAATTATAATAATAGTAATATAGTGGTCATTCATTGGGAATATGGGTTTAGCACACCTTTTCATTACTGAAAGGTTCTATGGAAGAAATGAAACCCCCTAAATTCAATGTACATCTTTGATAGCACCAGGCCAAGAAGGAGGAGAATTTTGAAAAGTTTTCAAACAATTCATTGTAGATTTGAACTGGAATTATCCACACGATAGTGCACCATGATACAAACAGAACTAAAAATGAAACCCATATTAAAACAATTTCCCATTATCTTTCCCACATATCCAGAAGACAAAAATAAACCTATACATCTGAAAATACCTTCCCCGAGTTCATTTCAAGCAAAGTCCACAGGTACAATAGCAGCTCTACAGCATCTCCCCAATCAAAGTCAAAGCATGTCCCAGCACATCTGAAATACTAGAAGGAGGTTAAAAAAACCACTACAGAGTAACACCCTCCGTATTTGTTAAATAAATGAACTTTTTTTAAATGGTATAATCAGCACCACTTAAAAGAGCCTCATGGATAACAAGATATCAGGTTCACAATAAATCCTCGGGTCTGATCTCATTCGATGTACAATAAAAAACGTTATTTTATATCAGGCAATCAAACAGACATGCTCAACAATAACAGTGGTTCATTCATCGACAATATCCTGTATCAAATGAACAAGAAAGCCGGAAAATAACAACTGAAGTGGACAAGTTGCACCTACATGATCCACAGCAGGCTTCAATTGATCGTGAACAAATGATGTGTCATGCGGTGTGTGCAGCGGAAGGAGAGGAAAGCTGGACGCATTTTAATGCTGATGCAAATTTTCTATTCAGTGACAAAGCAAGACCTTGGTCAAGCATCACATCGTCAGACTGTCTCCTCAGTGAGGGGGCGAGACTTGTAACAGGAATAAATGATTGAATGAAAAGCAGACACTGGGCGTTTGATCTACTGCAGATCTATATATGTGTTCTATTTCCCAACTGTGGTACCAATTTGATTACAAAATGTTCTTTAGTACACAAGAGCAGGCTGTAAAGCATTGACATGCACTATATAAATGCAATTAACAGTTGTTAGCATTTCCTATGCATCTAGGATGATGTCTAATCAACCTTCATGAGACTTAAATACTGGAAATAAGAAAGGTAGAGATGAGGTGAAAAAAATATGATTGGGAAAGAAAGCAGCAATAACTGATAAATCGCCAGTGGGTAATCTATATTATATATATAATAAAAACAATCCCCTCTGATAATCATTTGTTACAGAGTGTGTGTAAACTTTATTCCCTTCTATAACAGGATTCCGCTATAGAAGGGACATCAACTCGGTTCCTGCAGTCCTGTTAAAGCTGGGGCCCATTGTAATATCACTTTGACAGCTGTATGGTAAAAAATTTGACCAAAACATAAAACCCCCCCCCAAAAAACAAAAACAAAAAACCCCCCAAAAACCCAAAACACGTACGTTTCAAGTACACTCATCTATGCAAATTGACAGTCAATTGCTTTTCTGAGCTGATATGCTAATAAAATTATGCATTACATAGAAATGTAGAATAAAAGTGGTCAGCATTCACTGGTCTGCCTATCGTGTCAAAAGTTACACATTCTGTGACTAAACTATAAAAAAACTCATGTCAACAAAACAGGATTGGATTATTACAAGAGACCCCCCCCCCTATTAAAATCAAATAACAATAAGAAGTGACCTGTCTTGACATTAATGTCAACAGAAAAAACTCTCTGACATCTCCTTTCGTTTCCACTTTCCGTTCCTTTCCCCCTTCCTCTTCTGCTCCATGTCTACTGTTACTCCTTGGCTTCTTCTCACTGCTTTCTTTCAGCCACACCCCTGATCTCAGAGTAGGGAAGATCTAGCATCTAGCCTTCTCAGATAAGGGTGAAAAAATCTCGTAGGTCCCGGGTGCATGTTGCGCACGTTAAAGATCCCTTGGTGGTCCTACATTGATAAGAGTAGGCTTTGGCCGCCATCCAGGGAAAATTCAAAATTAATTCTTACTAAACTGAAAAAGCTTAATGTATTCCTTGCGCTCATCATTTGAACTTATCAGTTGCGAGCCCCGTAAAACACTTATAAAAAAAAAAAAACCCCAACAAACAAAAGAACAACCACCCCCCCCCCCCAACCCAAGACAAAAAAACCCCCAAAATATACACACACTAAAAAATGTTAAAGGCATTAAAATTAAAATATAACAAAATCAATCTCAAGTCGCCAAATCATAATCGGACAAAAAAAAAAAAGAAGTAAAATCCACCCAAACAAGAGTGGGACAATCACAGACCCCAAATGAATCAAAATGAAACAGATACAACGATAGATATTAAAAGTTACTCAAACAAAATCTGGACAATCAGACACAAAACGAAAAAAAAGAAAGGAGATAATAAACACAAAAATCCACTCAATTAAAAAATTGACAATCACAATCTTCTTCTTTTCATCTTTGGCCGGCCTGATGGACTCCTCAGAGGGTTATCCGCAATCTGTTCTGTCTGTTTTATTAAAGAAGGGGTCTTTTTGGGGGACACACTGTCTCGCTTCATCAACTGTCTCTGTGTTTGTTCACAAAAGAAATTGTACATTTCAGTCACAGCAAGTTCTAAACCATCAGAAGAGATTCGCTCGAGGCACTGGTGAAGAAAGTCAGCCGCAAAGTCAGTCGTCACAGCATCACTGATGACGAGGTTGATGAAGGAAAGGTTTGGTGGGGAGGAGTTCGTTGAAGAAGACAATGAAAGCTCGGCCAGGAATATCAGCAACGAGTTGAGGAAGGCCCGTACACACACTCCTGCCGGGAAAATATCTGTAAATATACATAAAATAAAGTGAGCTTTTAAAACCATCTAGAAAGTAGAAAGCTAAAACCTTAAACAGACTCAAAGAGAAGAGTTTGTGAAGACTCAATACAGTATTTTTGGAACCATTTATTTCTACTAAAGAACCATAATCTTTGGCCTAGAACACCCTCTTTTAAATTTATTTTACACAATAACAGTGAAAAAAAAAGCTCTCCCAGAATTTCCTGAATTCATGCCATTGGATAAGCATGACTTGGTGGACCTGCACCTTGCATGTCTCTTTCTGAGTCAAGTAGAACATGACTTAAAGGGTAATACCTCTAAAAGGTGAGCAAATTTCATATATATATATATATATATAAAAATGCATAATCTTTTGTTTGCTTGCCCAATACAATGATTTTATTCAAGAAGCTCCTCTACTCTCATTAACAATTTCTTTCCATTTTAGCTCTTGAACCGTAACACTGTAACTCCTTTCACCGAAGGAGAATTATAGGGTGTAAAAAGTGCAATAAGAGTAAAACTGTTCTTAACTGGTACATTATTATTATTATTGACCCATTTCTTGTAATAATACCATACTAAAACATATAAAAGTAGATTTCTGATTGGTAATTGCACCCAAGCAGGCATGATTTCCCGGCATTACCTCATCTAGCAGACCAAACTAGTCGAATAACTGTTCATAGGTTTTCATTCATCTTTTAGTTTAAATTTTAGTATGAGTTTTATGGCACTGTAACACAACTAGGTCACATCAAGTTAGAAGTGTTGCTAAAGGGTAACATACAAAGGAAAGATGAACACGATAGATGTTTGACAGGAAAGAAGGAGCAAGCTACACCAGATCATCTGCCAACCACCCGCCATCCCTCTTACAAAAATTACAACTTTAGCTCATAGCAAGTCACCAACCTTGGCCAATCAAGGGAAAAGACACACTGCGAAGGCTGAGCCTTTCATTGGTGAACCGGAGGCAGTTGGCGTAGACCTCTAGCAAAGCATGGATGCCACGCTCCTCGTCATCGTAAAGCTCTGCCTCCTCGGGAGTGGTAACATGCAGAATTGTCTCCACACAGCTGTCAAATTTACCACCAGCTGGGGTGAGAAGGACATCAGGGGCCTCCAAAGAACCTCCTGTTGGTGAAAGATAAGATAGAACACATATAAGTAACCTCATTATTTATCCATGCCATTAGTTGTTTTCTTTACTTAAGAGTTTTACATCACTTGCAATACAAACAGTACATGTAAGTGACGAAGATTAGAAGAGTTACCAAAGAGTAAAATACAAAAAAAAAAGAAAGATAAAAACTGCAGAATTTGATAGGAAAGACGAAGCAAACCACACCAGAGCACCTGCCAACCACCCACCCATGTCATTTCCCCTTTCAAGAATAAGGGTAAAATTATAAGGCAATAAAGTTAGTAAAAACACCTTGAAAAAGTATGGAAAACAATTTGTTAAGGACTGAAACCAGTATGAAGACATTATCTCACTCACTGAAGAGAAGCACGTCAACATGACAGCAGTCAATTAGAGCAGGGAAAAACAAGACGGACAAAGCAACATATAAGGTAAAAAAAAGTAGCTCATACTAGTGATGCCATGAGACCACCCACTTTACCTTTCGTCTCGAGATAATCTTTACAAGCCGTTCTCATGAGAGTGCCGCCCTTGCTAGCAATGTTCTGGCTGCACTCAGTGATGGAGTGGCTCAGAGCTCCGTCAGTCCAGTTGACTATGCCAGTTGTCAGCTGCTCCGATATGTCGCCCATGCACACGGAAACCTCTAGAAAGTTCGCCAGCCTAAAGTGGAGCACCTGGAAAACACAAAAGGTTCTGTTGTTAGTACTTATGTACAAGTATACAGGGAGAATGAAAGAGAAAAAAAAAGAGGAAGGGGGTGAGAGTAAAAAAAGAGAGAGAGTGAGAGAGAAAGAGTGAGAGAGAGAAATAAACAGCAAGAGAGCAAGAGAGAGAGAGAGACAGAGAGAAACAGATAGAAACAGACAGAGATAGAGAGGATTAGAGGCAATGACAGACAGGAGAGAAGGAGAGAGGGAACAGGAAAAAAGATTTATCGGACATGCACTATTGATAAAAATGTGTGGCTTTGATGACTGAATGACTGCAAAAAATATAAATAAACAGCATCACCTGAAGATGATGCAATTGTGTCTAATTTATACAGGATTATTCTTAGCACATGTGCCTCTTAAAGCGAGTGAATGCAATATAAAACCCTTCTTCAAAGAGGATGGAATAAAAAAACAACAACCCAACTTATAAGATAATCCAGGTAAAAACAAGGATTATTGGAGACCTCATGTCTCAATTCAACACAACATCAGCTGAGCTGTCTGAGAACCCTCATTAATTTGCAGATCAAAATTAATTAACCAAAACCAGTAGTATAATGACAGGACCCGAGCCATCCATAGCCAGTTACTTAACCAAGATGAACATGTTGAAGAGTCACTCAAGTGAAATTTATCTCTCATTCTAATTCTCATTCTAATGTGGAGTGCGCTGTCCAGGAAACTGTCAACAGTTGAGCATGGATAATCCCATTACTAGGGCGACTGACTAATGCGTTTGACACATTCATAATTCCGGTTAATTGATGATGAAAAATTAAAAGAGATATCTGCTGGGGACAGGCAAATTGTACGACGAGCTATCAATGATTGAGTTTTAGGTGTTTGTGTCATCTGTGCCCAACAATACTTTGTGTTGCGTGCTACGCCGAAAACAACAAAAACAAATGAACCCAGCACCCAGATGTTTTGTACCTCATATAGAGATGTTTGAGGCAGCAGCTCTACAAGATCCGCTGACTGATCATCTGCACTATCCAAAGTCTGTGTACCAGTGGAATGTACGGTTGGCTCTCTGCGGTAATTACGCAGGGAGATTCTGTTTGTCGATACTGAGGACACAACACAAATATAAGGATTAAAAATGTTTCAAAATACTAGTCTTGTATTGTAAGGAAAGTAAAGTGAAAATGACCACTGAATCAACAATTCTATTTTGATTAAAATAAAACTTTCACATCAGATGCTTAATTAAAAACAATAAAACTATTTCTCTATAAAGTCACCTTCCCTACAAAATCTCCAAGTCTCATAACAAACATGGCATGAGTCATGAGAGTTGATGTTTTAGACTTTGTTATCATATGCCATCACCACACGACATACAATGTAGGCCCATGTCTCAAACTCACATTACCCACAGGCTGCTGCAAGTAGTCTAGGTGAGCCTGGGCTTCATCAAGCATTCCACAAAAAAACAAGAAATATAACTCTGATCCGTCCTTCTCAATCTAAATTGACTGTATTTCAGAATATGGACGGTTGTTCAGAACAATGGCTTCTCCTTGCTGCCAGAGACCTGGCAGTGATTCCTCTGGCATAGCTCAGCCACATTTGGCTTGAGTGAGGAAGCAAGTGAGAGCCTCAATATGACTTGAAGATTCTTTTTATCAGTAAGTTTTGACCTGCACTTTGACTTATGGTGAAGAAGAGCTTTCAAACAATTTTTTGCTACTGAAAATGCACATGGTACACTTGAACATCCTAAAATGCTAAGGAAAATGAGGGAAAAAATACTCTCAAAATTGATAGAGCTTGGGGCGTACTAACATTAAACTTTGATGTTAATAAGGGGCAGCAAAATATTGTCCTGCATGCCTCAATTGGCCCGCAGGCTGCAAGTTCGAGACGCCTATTGTAGACCAATACACCACAAACATTTTGTCTGCTATGATGGAACACAATTTACTATGACAAGCCAATTTATACGGGAGTATTTAAGGAAAAAAAAAATTCCATCTTGGGAAAGTAAGATATAAGGTGAGCCTGGATGAAAGACAGTGGGATCACAGGTGCAGAATACTGTATTTCAGTGCTAAATAAAACAAAGTCCACAATCTCCTCATCCAGTGTTGACCAAGCAGCAGACAAAAATAGAATGGTTTGGCCAAGACTTCTAAACTCAGAGGCAGTATTGCTAAATTTAAAATGACAATGTCTTTCTCTCTGTGCCTTTTTCACCCTGAATTGTGTATAAACCGCCAAGAAAGGCTTTTTACTTGGTCTCTGTTCTGAGACATCTTCTCTACCCCCAGCCCGATGTGTCCCATCTGTTTGAGATCTACTTCCAGATCTCAAAAAACGACAATGTTGCCACTGAAAATGAATCAGACTTCAACCTCAATGAACTTACTCCTTGGGCTGCTCCAGCTTGGCAAGGACAATCGTTGACCAGGTCCAATGCTGCCAGCTGCCATCTCTCTGCTAGAATGATAAAGTTGAGTGGGTTGTCCTGATCTCGTGTCTCTTAAAAGTGAAGGCTGTTTGTTTTGGAAAAAACTTGAAGAAAGACTCGATGAATGATGTGCTGGCAGAGTTGACAGCCCTCGTTTATGTGTTGCCCCAGATGACAGTAATCGTTGTTTTATACTGCCCATGTTTTCAAACAAAGTTGGGCTTTTAGTAGACGATGAATTTACTTTTGAGAAAAAAGTTTTAATATTATCCCCAATATTTTTTCGTTTGGACCAAAAGTTCTTAAAACGCTCAGCAGCTGATCGACCAGTCCTCTTCCCTGTCAGAATTGTGCGGGGCTGCTCATTGGACGGATAAGGAAAAGCAAGAAAACTCTGAGCACCAGTTTCCACTTCCATATCAGTCTCCAGACAACTGTCCTCTCCAGGTGCTTGGTCCTCAGTCCTCTCTCGCTTTTGACCCCGACTCCCACTATTGCTGTTATTCTTATCCTTCATTTGGCTGGGCGGTATCAGCACCAAGTCACGCAGTGGAGATGGTGGCAGCTTCTGCTCCTCAGACACTGAGAAATAGCCATCAGCTTCTGAATTTGACCCATCACTGGTCACTGGGCTTGAGACGATGAGGCCTTTACGGGACCTTGTTGTGCTGTAAGCAGAACTATTCACAAGGTTTGAAACATTTCCTTCCCTTGTTTCCATCTGTGTTTCTTGGAGTGGTTTTGAAAAAGCAGAATTTTTCGTTCGCAGGTTCACCGTGAGATTGGGGAACTTGGGCAAGGAGGGCTGTTCTGACTGTTGAGAAGATTCTGTTGAGACAGATGATGATGCTGCATTATTCGCGAGACTCACGTGCTGCCTCAGCGGTACAATCTTACCATGTACGTTTCTAATTCCTTGATCCCCCATTTTTGAAGAGTTTAATAAATTTATTTCTTGATGATCACCATCTTCCCTGGACGAAGCATTTACATCAGAAGCAATGACTGATTCTGGTGGCAGACTTTCACTGTCTGCATTTTCATCTTTGGAAATTTTTGGCGATAGTTTTTTTCCAGATAACTCTCTCGCACCTTCTAATGATGAAAAGACAGCATAATTTTTTCTCTCACTCTCAGAAACAAAAGCATTAACCTCACTGTCTGTTGTTTGATTGCTTATCATTGCTGCTGAAGACGCAGACTTAACACTGTTCACCTCTTCATCAGCAACACTTGAAGGTCGGTGGTACGGAGGATTGTACGCTCCAATCCGAAGTCTTTTGATTCTGCTGGGAAAGGTCTCAGAATATTGATCAGTATTTCGTGACACTGCCCCAGATCGAGTTCGACGTGAAGTCCCAAAATCTTCCTCTTCTGGATTCTTGCTATGACTAGGACTCCTAACATTTAACTCCCTTTTACCATCACGGGGTGAATGGGACAAGCGTTTGTGACTTAACCGTGACCTTTTATTACGGTTCTGCTGCGCATCCGAAAGTTCATCACTGTCTGACGTCTCAGGTTGTCTCTGTCTCGAAGAGGGCTTGTCACTATGTCGCCTTTTCCCAATGTCAGGCATTGGGCTTTTCTCCTCACTTTGACAACTGCTCGCTTCACTAGAACCACATGACTGTCTTTTCTCGCTACCATCTTCACAACTCTCATCACTGTCAGCTGTCTTAGAACTGCCTGACCACCTCTTCTTCTTTTTGGGTAGCTGAGACTCAGTCGAACTGTTAAGATCTTGAACTCTGTCCTGTCCCTGACCTCTTTTCCTTTTTGTTTCTGGACTCTTTTTGATGTATCTGCCCTTCTTACTGAATCTTTTGCTGCCTTCAGACTCCGACTCATCAGAATCTGACGAGTCAATGATGCCAAGACGCTGGCGGCTCTGCTGGCTACTACGGGTAGCTCTCCTTGTCACAGGAACAGTAACCCTTGTATTTTCTACTACCCTCATTGTCCCTCTTTGTGCTTTTCTTTTGCCTGCTTGTGCGGCTAAAATAAGAGAAGCGGTTTGAGATTCACCAGTACCAGTCAGTGGGGAGAAAATTGGTTTAAAAGGAGAAACTTTGTCTTGGGAACTGGAGGTTTGTCTCCCAGGAGTATTTTGTTCTGAGATTTGATTTGTGCTCGCTGTCCTAAGTCTCTGGGACTGGCGCGTTCTTGGTGTGGCAGCCCTACTCCCATCACTGTCCTGTGTTACTGATAAACTCTGGGAAGATTCCAGCTCAGGTCCGATGCTGTCCTGGTCATGATCCACGCTGACACTGCACTGACCGCAGGACCTGGTGGACCTGAGGGGTCTCCCTCCTCGAGGAGTTACTTTATCAGGGACGTGCGGGACCACAAACTCTCCTTCCTCAATACTCTCTACACTTAGGCTAACATCAGGTGATTCTCCATCATCAGCTTGGTGAAGGCTTCTATCATCAATGTTGTCGTCGGAATCATCAGAAAAGTCTTCTCCCGATGACGACTCTGGTCGTGTCCGGGGCGGTGTGATACTTCCAACACTGTCGCCTTCCTCTGCACTGAAAAATTCGTCATCACTGAGAATTCCAGAAGAAATATGTGGAGGTGGTATGGCGCCTGTGACAGAAGTGCCTGCAGCTATGGGAGCATTAATTTGAGCCTCGCGGAGGACATCCTCATGAAAAGTGTACCTTGGACTTTCTTCTCCATCTGAGTCTGGGCTCTGAGACTGATTGTTTCCCATGATAGGCTGCTAGGACTTCTTTCAATCTGAAAATAGAGGAACAATTGTCTAGACAGTGATGTTTGTGAAGCCCTCAATTTCATGTAAGCATAGATGCAGAGGTATATTGCCGACTTGTAAAGTTCTGTCATAACATATTTATACACGTTTACATATGGACTGGTACAATGAAATTTGTAAGACCACCACAAGCTAGAATTATTACCCCAGCAATCTTTGGTCTTTTTATACAAACATCATTAACACAGTACACAACAGACAAAGCAGAAAAGACATTATAAATTTAATTATAAACGAGCAGCGAGTATATGACATAATGAATGATCAGACTGCCTCTACTCTGAAAAAAGAAAGGACAGGTCTACCCTACTGTCTATAGTCACAGCTACAAGACTACTCCATACTTTACCATAAAGGTCACCAAGTTATAGCCCTGGAGGTTTGTTTGTCTGCCACCATGTGCAACAAAAAACTTGAAAGATGAATTTGTAGAGTGTGCTCAGGACGTGGTCACCAACAAAATTTTATTGAACTCTATAGATAGTGCATATTAAACTTTTAAACATGCTTTTACAGTTTGGCCAAGTAATGGTAGTGTACTTGCAAGGTGCACAGGCCTATGCCATGCCATTGACCACGCCACAGTAGAGTTGAGTGTGCCACAGAGTTACTTTTACTTTTAATGCAATTGTAATTACTAGTTTAATACTTAAATATACAGTCGAACCTGCCTTCACGGAAACCTCTGTGTAAAACAGAAAACCGTCTCAACGGAATCTCCCTGCTCGCCCCTTGATCCTCTTTAATTACCAGTATAAACCGAAAACCTGTCCCCCCCCACCACCCTCCCCGACACGCACACAGCCACACATATGCAGGCCGCCCATCCGACCCCGACACACGCTAACGAGCCATCTTTAATTGCTTC